TATATGTACCACACAGTGCGGCTTCGGGGTTAAGAATAAGTAAGCTCGTGTTCGATCGACAGTATTCGCGGGCTTCATTTCTTCGTAACGCACATATACAAGGATAACCACATAACACAGATAGTGGAAAAGAAAAAATGAAGAAGAAGAAGAGGAAGAGGAAGAAGAAGAAGAAGAAGAAGAAGAAGAAGAAGAAGAAGAAGAAGAAGAAGGAGAAGAAGATAAAGAAGAAAAAGAAAAAGAAAGGGAAAAGTTTTAGCTTCTTCTCCCAAGAACTCACTCTTTCTCTTTCTCTCACACGCTTTTCTCTTTTCCATGCCGGTATTAATTATCGTGCGGTAATATTCTAAGCTCGTGCACAACGAAGAAGCAGGTAGATAAGAACCCGTGCCTCGTCTTATCGACCATTATGGAGAACTCGAGGAGAAAGAGAGAGAGAATGAGAGAGAGAGAGAGAGAGAGAGAGAGAGAGAGAGAGAGGAAGAGAGAAGAGAAGGAAAAAATTCGAAGAAGCAAGGAAAATGGAGAAGGACACCAAAGCGATAGCCGATAGCGATCCACGGTGATCATCGAGTAATTATCGTCCAAGGAAGAACTTGCATACTTCAAAAAATTTATATATATATATATATAAATAAATAAATAAATAAGGGAAAGGGAGAGGGAGAAAATAAGAAAAAGGAGAAAAAAGAAAAGCCGCGCGTGTTGTTTAACAGGTAACAACTTATATAGTGCACAAGTACACAGATATATATATATATATACAACGTGATACCTAAATGTTCCGCGATCGAGATTGCTCTTACGACGTTCGATTTTATCGCTCGATATGCACCGATTAGTCATGGCTTAAGTGCTGTTTGAACTCCCTGATTTACGCGTACATAAAAAGAGGATGAAAAGAAATATATATATATATATATATATATATTTATTTTATATATATATATATGTGTGTGTGTATAGGAAATAAAGGGGTTAAAATCTTGTATATATGTATACGTGTGACTTCTTTTAGGGATTAAGATGAATATAAGATTACTTTCGTACGAAGAATATATTCTCGCAGGTGTACATATTAATATATGTATATACATATATATATATATATACATGTAAATATACTATATATTTATACCTACATACTCATGAGGGAAAGGAGGAAGTTCTATCGTTGAAGGTGCGGACAAAACGGTAGTGAAAAGAAAGAAACTTTGTCGAAGGCGTGCGTGTCGTATTTGCTTTCGAATCGAAGCCGAGAAAAATCGTACTCGATCCGCTCGATATGGGAAGACGAATGATAGAGAAAAAAAGATTGAGAAAGAGAAAGAGAGAAAGAGCAAGTGAGAGAGAGAGAGAGAGAGAGAGAGAGAGAGACAGAGAGAGGAGAGAGAGAGCAAGATAGGGTAAAGAAAAAGCACAGAGTTACTATACGGAGTTCAGAAATGGTGCAAAGTACGACACCAGGTGGAAAGAGAGAATCGAGCTTGTGTGTACGAGTGTCGGCATCTCACCTGGGGTCGTTTTTACAAGGCCGACGTTGGACTCGGCAACGCGGACAAGAAGAAGACCAATTACGGCGACAAAACAGCGACTATATACCGTCCTTTCTTTCTCTCTTTCTCTCTTTCTCTCTCTCTCTCTCTCTCTCTCTCTCTCTCTCTGTCGTTCTTTCTCTTTTCTCTTGGAGAGAGTACCGAATGTCTCGCACCACCTTGCTTTTCGATCGGTCGACGAAAAAGCGTTTGAAACTTCGCCGGGATACGGTTGACTTTTCGATTTTAATAAATGATCTCTCTCTCTCTCTCTCTCTTTCTTTCTCTCTTTCTCTCTATCTGTCTATCTCTCTCTTTCTTTCTTTCTCTCGATGGAATTTTCACGAGAAAAGTTGTTCGAAAACTTTTTCTTTCCTTTCGTTCCTTCTTTTCCCGTATAAGAGATACGTATTACAATTTCTTTTTTTATTTTTCTTTTTTCTCTTTTTTCTTCTTCTTCTTTTCTTCTTTTTCACGAGATAACACTTTAACACGTGCGCACACACACGCACTATGTTCGTTTATATTGCGTATTAATTATTAATTGTATCCCGCCCACCTCCTCTTCCCCCCCCACCCCTCCCTACCTCCACCGCCATCGTATATATCCTTCAAGATACGTAATTTTTTTCCGATACTTTCGATGTCCATGAGAAAATAATCGATTTATACAGATTTGCAAATATGATGAGTATAAATATTTGAAATGTTTCCTTTGCGTCGTTATTATCATTGAATGATTTTTTTCATATTGATTCTTAGGAAAAAAAAAGAAAAAGAAAAAAGAAAACAAGAGAAGAAAACAATGATATTCATTCTGGACAACGAAAATAATCGGAAATGATTAAAATTATTATTATTATTATTATTATTATTATTATTATTATTATTATTATTATTATTATTATTATTATCGTTTATGATGATGGAACGGACGAAGTTAGGATTCGTAAGAAGAAACATAC